AGTAATATTGGTTCCCCGTTACTCCTGCCATGGATAGGATGGCATCGTAATGACGGTTGTCTAACAAAATGTTCAAACAAGTTCCATCTCCCCAGCCTTTGAAGATGCGCTCTAAACAGAGTTTAGTGGAAGTAGATTTGAACTGAAATATTTTCAATCGATACTGAGGAGCTAATACTTGTTGTAATTTCGGCCACTCTAGGGCTCCACAAGCTTGAGTAATATCACACCCGGCCTGTTCCATGAGGGCTATGGCTTCGTTCTTCTGATCCAAGGATTTCTTATCTCCCTTCCGCATACGGAGCCAACGTTTTTCCCATTCCGGGTCTGGATGTTCCGGTTTTTGACTGTGTAATCGAGTGACGACGATGGCTCTAGCCAAACAAAATTTATCATGGGGATTGACGATCCGAACGATGGATCGTTTATTGTTCTTGAAAGTTTCTTTATTCACTTGTAAATGTTTGGTTCTGTCTCCACCACTCCCCTGGGGATTCTCGATATGAAGCTGTTGGAATTCAGTGGAGCCGTCGCCCAGTTTGAACTCCTTTTTGGATTGTTGCACGTCTTGTATTTTTTTTAAAATGACGTCTTCGTTTAAATCTTTACATTGGGTAAACTCGTACGAAATGTCTGATTCCAGAGAATGGTGATGAAGGTTCAGGCGGAGGTAATCGTTAGGATTACACTGCATTTCAGATTTGAAGTCTTGTAACATGTTTCTGAATAATCGCCGAAGGAAAGCTGTACATGTGTTTTCTTCTTCTTCTGGAAATTCATCGAAATGAACGATATATTCATTTTCATGCGCTTTAAATTTTGGAGAGGTCCTTTCTTGAGTTAGTCTCATATGATAATACTCAGAAATAGGTTTAGGTGGCAAATCTATTTCTCTCTCGGTACTTTTTCGTTTCAATATTCGTTGAGCCTGTAACTGTTTTTCTCTAGTAGAATCCATGTCTATCAGCTGATGGCTCTGAGGGTAAAATGAACCCAGAGTGAAAGAAAAACCGTATTTATACAGTGGATGACGTCACAATGCATAGGTAAGTTTTATTGTACTTTTTGCACACGGCACTTTACAGATGATGCAAACAGGTATATATAAGAAAACACAGGTAAAAAGGTATATTTCTTTTGCACACGACCCTAATGTTTTGCACACGGCACTTTATAGGTGATGGAAACAGGTATATAAGAAAACGCAGGTAAAACGTATTTTTGCACACGGCCCCTAAAATAAATCCATGCTACATATATATATATATAAACCAGAGCTGAACATGAAGTATCATTCTGTGTGAGTACTTGGAAGTGAACACAGGTAAAATATGGCAGAGGAAAATACAAAGGAGACTGTACCAGAAACACAAGATTTTATGGACGTAGATGAAGGAACCTTACTATGTCGGATTCTATTTGAAATGAATACTATCCTGGAGGATTTAAAAGAAGTGATGAGAGAGAATAGTGATCTAGGAAGGGAAGCAGACCAGAAAAAAAATAATGGAGAGTCCACCCAGAACTCAGAAGAGGAAACTACCCCAGAATGTTTGATATGCCGTATCCTAAATAAACAGAAAGAAGTGCTGACAAAGATTAGTGATCTAGGAAGGGAAGCAGAACAGTTAGTGAAAGAAGTAGCCTACAAAAAAGAGAAAAAATAGATGAGTGTCCACCCAGAACACACAAGAGGAAACTACCCTTGACCAGTGAGAAGGAACAGAAGAAACAGAAAATGTAAAATGTATGTATTTTTCATTCTGAATAAAAATTGGAAAAAATCAAAATCTGTGTTATTTATTATTGTTTTGAGGAAATCCAGTTTGAACCGGCTGGCTGGCTAGACTGTCTAGACTGTGAATGAATGCGTGACGTCATAATGACATTCTTTTGAATCGCTGCCAAAATCGTAGTAGCAACGTTTGTGAATCGTAGTAGCAGCGTATAGTATAATGTAAAAAACATAGTGTAAACAACCCTGTATTTAGGGGATAGGATAGGTTAGGGTTAAAAAGGGGTTAGGGTTAGAGGGCTAAGGGGGATAGGGTTAGTTATAGGGCTAGGGGGGTTAGGGTTAGTTAGGGTTAGGGGGTTAGGGTTAGGGTTAGTTAGGGTTAGTTAGGGCTAGGGGGTTAGGGTTAGTTAGGGTTAGTTAGGGCTAGGGGGCTAGGGCTAGGGTTAGTTAGGGTTAGTTAGGGGTAGGGGGTTAGGGTTAGGGTTAGTTAGGGTTAGGGGGTTAGGGTTAGGTTAAGGGGGTTAGGGTTAGGGTTAGTTAGGGCTAGGGGGTTAGGGTTAGGGTTAGTTAGGGCTAGGGGGTTAGGGTTAGGGCTCAACCAATCAAAACTGATCACGTGATTTCTCTCAGCCAATCAGAATGCGGTCCTATCTAGGCCCCTTATACTACTTCCATATTAAACGTGAGCACATGTATGTAATTATTTCGATCTCCAAATTATATAAAAAATAATTTTCAAAAAAAACAGACACGTTTCAATGAACCATCTTCCGTTTTAGTTTCAAATTGGAGTGGGGAGTTCAGTAGTAATCTTCCGCAATAAATATTAATGTAACTTATTTTTCAGGGTTTTTTGTTTTATATTTTTACTTGTACATGTACCGCTGCTTGTTTATTTTTATTTGACTGCATAGATAAATATATTAAAGATTTTACAAATATCATGAAGTAAACATCTCAACTTCGTTTAATTAAATTTTGCGTAAAATTAATATAAAATATGCACGATTCCTTGATTATCAGAAGAAAAAAAACTTTCACATTCCAATTACATAAGAAATGTTCAATAAAAGCACTATAAAAATTAATTATTTTTGCGCATATCCTAGTATTAAAAGAAATGAATAAAATAAAAAAAAATTATTTAACATTTTCTGATATTGCACTGTGAAGAGAAATTGAACAGGAAAGGAGAAAATACTTATTTTTAAATATTTTTCTTTGCATGTTTACGCAAAGAATTTACAAACTTTTCTGGAAGTCTTGTAACTATTTGATTGTGACGCAGTATTAGTCAGGTATATGACGTCACTGATACATCAATGGAAACGTGGATTCAACCTGAATAACACAGCCCATTTTTATCCAAATATTACGTTTGAAGGCGTAAATGAGTTCTATTTTGAAAATAAAGTAGTTATTTATGTTTAATAATTTTCTTTAGTGCATTGATTCTATTTTTTGTACTAGGATTCCGATAGTAAGGCGTTTAGCAGTTTTACCGAGGCCAAGGGAGATAACTCTTGCACTGCAAAATTTCATAAAAACGTCTATATATTTTGCCAGAAAAATAATTCACAAGTGTTTTTTCCACCGATTTTATTTTTGAAATAGAAAGATGAAATATTTCTTGATTTAGTTCAGCCTGAATTATAGTCCTGCTAAAAATGTGTTGGAAGTTACAGTTCTCTGTTTTTGACCTAAATTCAATGGTTTATATAGGGGAAATCAATTGCAAGAAAGAAACGGATATTTCACTAAATAAGCAATTTTCAAACAAATCTTCGAGTACATTATTCCACTTGGACTACATTGATATTGTTTTCAATAAAATATCACATATTCGTCACATTCGATGTGCCGCCTATCAATACAATACTGCCTGGTTTTTCGATGGACTGCCTCTTAATTGTATGTTCTGGGGTACATCCTACATACATGAAGCTTGTACGTAGATATGCCTAATGGTTTATTATATTATTTTGTCTTTTTATAAACATTTTTTTAATAGACCTGCTTATATGTTCAATATTTATTAATAATTGCTCACAAACGAAGAACTGATAATTTTACAAAATTTCATTCAAAGAAACAGATTGTAGCTGTCCATTGCACCAATCTACATCATTTAGTGAGATAAGTAAATACTCAAACGTTGCTTATACTGTTTGAATTAAAATCATTATATAAATGATAATTTAATTATAATACATAAGTTTAATTCTAGTTCCTGTGTCTGACCATCATCAAAGTCTGTTTTAATGCTTCCCAATATTTCCAGTGATACCATACTAGGTATTGACTACCAGACACTGAAGACCGTCCGTACTGTCCGTTCAGGTTTGCGTACGCACAGACCCGGTACCACCAGCCTCCCTTATTTGATACAGCACAGTTACCACTATATCCGTCATTGTCCTGGTCCTTAGTAGTGAATTTATAGCCATTGTGATACTTTAAACTGTCACCTAGAACAGAGTATTGATAACATTAAATCCAGATATCAATTAAAGTTGAACAATTATCAAAATTGTACTCGTTATTTTCCTGTCTATTGATCAACTTCTAAATGACTTTAATTTGTAAAGTACAAATGTGTATTATACTGGTATACATTATTTTTTTATGTATCACACATTTTATGACAGATCTCTGAAATATAGTTTCTTTTAGGTATTTATAGAAGGCAACTACTATATATAAGTTTCTTTTCGGTATGAAATATATATCATGTTCTTCTTTTCGTTTGCAGAAAGTGAAGGGGTTAATATAGCTGCACAGTTTTACTCCTTCCCGAGTTTTAGGTCGGTCTTTCCTTTCTTTACATTATTAGAGAAACTAATTCAGTCATTTAAAGAGAGATGATATTTATTACTATTTCAACAAGAGGTCCACGGGTCTTATGAGTCATCTGACTATCACGTAACAACTTTCCAACAATGGAAAGTTTTGAAAGAGGCACCATACATGTAGCCTATCATAATTATAAACTTAGCATGCTTACTCTATTTACTTAATACCAAGAGGCAGATTAGAGTAACAAAGAGAAAATGCACTTCCACTTAATAACCAGACGACCGTTTCACTAACAAATCGCAAATCGTAAACGTACGATAACGTTTACGTTTGCTAAAGGTGCACGTAAACGAGTGTTTCACAAAACATATCGTAAACGTAGCACTTACGACTGGCGAGTTACGACCAACTTATTAGAACTCTTGTAACAAAGGAAGTGTATTTGTATTTGTTTGAGAGTGAGAGAAGAGGAGAAAGAAAGAAAGAAATCAATATCATTACGAAATAAAAATAAATATCTTTCATTATTTGTCTTAGTCTCCAAAATAGAGAGAAAGAGAGAGAGATAGAGATAATGGAAAATAGATCACTAAAATGAAAAAATATAATTTTATATACCATGCATTAAATTTGATTAAAGTTCCTTTTTATTAAATCTAGGATCAAATTATACGTATCGAATATCTTTATTCCATTCTGTATTCAATGTATCTTAATTATCAAGTATACTCCACAATGGTGTTTAATGTCTTATTTTACTTAACATGCTTAACTCTAAAGGTTATTTTACTCCCTGCTAAAAATTATGACAAACTCATGGTGAAACAAAACATATTAATTAAAAAAGTTTATTATTTAAATATTGCCAATACTCACATGCATGTTTTAAAAAGTATTTTTAGATCAGTATAAATAAGTAAGCAATATTAAGATGTTAGCAAACTATCCATTGCAATATCTCGTTCAAATCTTAAACATCGGGAAATATTAATACAGGAAAAATCTTTTACTCTTACAATTTGCAAGTTAATCTTATAACACAAATTTATTCAATCTAAATCTCCAAATTGATTCAAATTGTCTTTAACAAGCGCTGATTCAATAACCGACAAAACTCTCCTTGTATACCTTGAATAGTAGTTTGTATATATTGAGGCGGTGCCCGCAGCAATGGATTAAAAAAAGGGGGGTGGGGGGCAAGTTCCACAAATTTTACTTGAGAAGCAAAATGAAATCAAACAAAATTTAATTTACCCCCCCCCCCCCACACACACACAAACACAAGTATGGGGTAACTTCCAAGAGTAATCTGACAAGTAAAGGAAAATTATAAAATGTCCAAATCCTAGAATTTGCGGACGCCCGACCTCACAGCAATAAAATGTAGGAAGGGAGAAGGATCTGAACAACATAGCATATCTGAAAAAAGATCTACTACATGTATGTAGCAAAATCTATGCCAAAAAAGTGGACACCCTCCGTTCTCTACGTGCCTCTGTTTACATTTACATGTATGTGTATATGTATATTAGTTTTCAAAAGTTAGAAAGGTTAGTTTGATTTTATTTTGACCGACCCAGTATATAAGTAACTAAATTTTCATTTTAAAGAAATTCGGTTATTTTCACAAATTCACGTGTTCACGTATACTGTGTGCATTTTCCAGCAATTAATTTATTCAGAAAAGAAAAATAAGAATCAGTTAGGAATAGAGTTAAAAATTTTTGTTTAATTTTATTTCTGTGTCACTAGGCCTATTCATTTTTATAAGGGGGTGTGGAGAATGTGCATCTGTCTTGTAAGCGATCTTATTAAAATCGCATTCGATTGAATTTTAAACTGTATTTTTATTGCTTGAATTTTATGATCAAGAACAGAATATATTGAGCTTAAAAATGAAATTGAAAATTTAAAGTATTTCTTATATAAATGTCAAATTGATTTTTTTACATTGTATCTTTTTTTTTTAATTTGGAAAGTGTGATTTTAAGATCGGACTCGGTCTACACAAAATACTATTGTTGTTAAAGGAAAGCAGACAGAAATGTAAGAAAGTCAGAAATTACTTAGTTTCTTGCTTATGTTGTCGTTTTTTATTTCTTTTTTCATGAAATTACTTGCACGTAAGAATTTTAAGAGTTCCTCTGACTGCTCGTAGAGTTACGATCAAGTTTAATCGTAACTCGCAAATCGTAACTTTAAGTGAATGTCTATGTTTACGAGCTACGATCTGTTAGTGAAACGGTCGCCAGATGTGCATCCCACCCCACCCCAAAGGATGCACTGACCCCGGAGCCACATATTTCAAAATTTTGGAAATTCTATCATATATTTTATTTCAATATAAATGGTTGATTTATGCCAAAGAGCAGATTTCAAAACATTTACTTATTTTCAGACTATGTAACCCTCCCCCCTCCGATACCCCTGACACAGGGGGCATGAAATTAAGTATTTTGCTTGATGCGCTTTTCTTCCTCATAAATATATAAACTTGGATCATAAGCATAATACCCAGAAGCAAAGGACACAATGTTCAAAGAATTAATGTATTTTTCACTACATAATCAAAAGTGACCCACCCTCCTTACACTGAATGGCAAAACCCCTGGCACAGGGGCCATGAAATTCACAAATTTGGTTGAGGCATTATAATTTTATACAAAATTAGTTCATTTAAAAGCCGGGAGCAGAGAAGAAGATTTTCAAAGATATAATGCAAACAACAGAGACCTGTCGTAACACAAGAACCCCTGACCCTGTTGCCCTAAAATTTACAATTTTGGAAGAGGCACTCTTGTTCATCATAACTATGTACTTAGTTTGTTTATTTAATATCCAGGAGCAGAGAAGAAGATTTTCAAATAAACAATGCATTTTCAATATATAATCAATAGAGCCCCGCCCTAACACCAGAACCCCTAACCCTGAACCCTAAAATTCACAATTTTGGTAGAGGCACTCTTGCTCATCATAACTATGTACTTAGTTTATTTAATACCCAGGAGCAGAGAAGAAGATTTTCAAAGAAATAATGCATTTTCACTATATATGCAATAGAGCTCCGTCCTGACACCAGAACCCCTGACTCTGGGGCCATAAATTTTACAATTTTGAAAGAGTCACTCTCACTTATCATAACTTTGTACTTACTTAGTTTATTTAATAGCCAGGGGCAGAGAAGAAGATTTTGAAAGAAATACTGCATTTTCACTATATATAATCAATAGAGCCCCGCCCAAACACCAGAACTCCTGACCCTGGGGCGATTAATTTCACAATTCTGGTAGAGGACTCAATGCTCATTACATTCATGCTTACAGTTTGACTGCTTGATATCCAGGAGTAAAGGAGAAGATTTTAAAAGATTGCATTAATTAGAGTGGTTTTGGCCCCGCCCCTCTGTCGCCAGGGGGCAGGGACCATGAAATTCACAATTTTTGTTTCCCTTCACCCATAGATGCTTTTTGCCAAATTTGGTGGAAATTGGTTGAGTGCTTGCAGAGAAGAAGCTGAAAATATTCAAATGTTAACACACGAGGAACCACCCACGACAAACGACGAAAACGAATAGCAATAGGACACCTGGGTTTACTCGGGTGACCTAAAAAATCAAATATGGACAAAACACACTCAGTTAGGGTTTACAGGTGAAAACAAAATTCAGAATATATTACCTTGGTGCTAAAAGTGTAAAATAATCTTTAGAAAATTATACCAAGCCAGATGAACTTGATGAGGAAAATCAATATGACAAAAAATCAGCAATATCATACACTGTATAGGCTGATATTTACCATTTTGCTTTTCCTGATAAAATTCACCTGGCTTGGTTTACTTTTCTAAAGTTTATATTGCACTTTAAGCACTAGGTTAACATACTTTAAAATTTGTTTTCATCTGTAGACCTTTACTGAGTGTGTTTTCCTCATATTTGTAAATTTGATGAAATATTACTAATATATATATATATATATATATATATATATATATATATATATATATATATATATATATATATATATATATATATATATATATATATATATTATACATTTATTGCATGATAGTGAGGGAAATATGAAGAATTATTCAGCCAAGAAAAATCATATTCCCCGAGGGCTTCGCCCGAGGGGAATATGATATTTCTTGGTTGAATAAGTCTTCATGTTTCCCTCACTATCATGCAATGAATTGTTTATTATACCGAAACAAGCAAAACCTTTGAAATAAACATAAACTTTCAAATTCGGCACCGCTCTCAAATTCACTTTCATTGTTAACGTAAAGTTACTATAAAACCCTTTGGTCAACACATTGTCATCAGTTTTGTGACGTCAACCAGACTATTGTGACGTTAGCCTGGTCCCCTGTCTCATCCTTGCCAAGGTAGAATATATGAAGCAAAACAGGGACAGGGAACCAGGCTATTGTGACGTCTACTACTCTCGGGAGTTTTCGTTCAACGAACGAGAACTATAACGCGGGAAAATTCACTAGGTGTTCCGAAGAGGTGGAATATGATGAAAAGCGTGCCGACGACGGGAAATATGAAGTTTTACTGCCCGATCACGTGATAACCTAGAACCAATCAGATAACGCGTTGTGTAGAATATTTATAATGAGGTATAATAAAATTCTTTATTCAATAACTTTAAGCCATACGGCTCATCAGTATGTATAAACAAAAATACAAAATGAACGAGTGGCGAGAGTCTGCGGGGGGTGAAACCCCCAGTGTCCATCTGCCTGACTCCCATACTGATACACCAACAGATATCCAATATTTTTCCAATTCTCCATATTACATGTAAAAATTACTATAGTATATAAAGCATGTATACATATGAATTATATTATTCATTATTTCTTATAACAGATATACAATATATTTCCAATTCTCCATTATTACATGAAAAATCACTATAGCACATAAAACATGTATACATATGAATTATATTATTAATTATTTCTTAATTTCATTGCATGGAGAAAAAATTTCCCCAAACCAATTAAAACCCTAATATCATGAGAGCTGAGTAACTGAGTAAGCTTGTACATATTTGGAGATCTAAAATAATATGGTTTGATATATTTTTTCCTTAAAGTTTCATAAGTAGAACATTCAAGTAAAAAATGATATTCATCTTCTATACAGTGATTATTACAAAATTGACATAATATATTGCTTCTATCAACTTTCTGATATCTTCCTGCTTCTATACTTAAGTTATGGGAAGATAACCTTATTCTTGTAATATTTTTCTTCAATTTAGAACTTTCAAATCCATTTCATTTTCCAGTTCTTAAGTCTCCTCCAAAGAAAAAAATGTTTGTATCATCTGTCCTTAACTCTTTACAACTTACTGAACTGTTTTGCAAAATACACTTAATGTTCACGTCATGGAAATAGAAATTTACCATTTCCCCGCAAGCACCTTATAGCGTGGTACACGTTTCTCTACACTTTAGCGTAAATAATATCATGACGTAGAATTATAATACAAATATAACTTTTCTTATTTTATGAGATCTTTGCAAGTATAAAAATGACTGAAATTGGCATTAAATTAAAGATTAAATGAACTTTTTAAAGTGCGTGAAAATGCGTGATTGCGGGGAAACGGTATATGCGTGATTTTGCGTTAGAAATAGGAAATAGTATATGCGTTAAAATGCGTGACTGCGGGTAAGGGGGTTAAAGGACCAGAAAACATTTCCATGTGTACCGAACAATAATGCCTTATGCATTCCTGTAGGTGTTTATTAAACGATCAACCTATTTGATTACACTCTAATGTATACAACCTGTGTCAACGTAGATGCCATTTTTTCAACAGTTTAGATTTCAAGCCGATGGATATAGAACGTTATAAAATTTATAGTAATTAAAACATACAAACCAAACCTTTGAAAAAAAGGTAGTTGATGATATAAAATGAAGAATTTTCATTTCTTTTCCCCAAATTCTAAGTTTCAAATAATTTTTTGTAAGATATTTAACATCTATCAATTTTTAATGACATTTTTTTGTATGATTCCGCCTTATTACATCATACAATAAATATTTTATTTGAATAGGGTTAACCTGTGTAGTTACACATGGATTCTTTTATTTTTTTGTTGTTTGAACCTATGTAAAAGTTTCATTAGTATATGTCACCGGGTTTCTATTTTTGTCTACGGAATTGTAGGACAAACTTTCTATGAAAATGATGTTGTAGACATTGTGGCTTCTTTAATTTCAAGTTCACTGACATATATCGAGTATACTCCTACAAGTTAGAGCCTCGGTTAACGTCCCGATGCTCCTTATATACCTCGCCAATTCAAAAGTATCTCTAGCATGCTGGGGGTAATATTGGTTAAAGAAATTCATGCTCAACCATGTCTTTTTTGGGAAAAAATATTTTAAAAAAAATCATCCGTTCATCACTTGTGACCTTAAATTTAATTAGGTATGTACGAAAATTTACAAATAGACCTACCTGCAGTTCCTGAGAACCCAGATACATTGAGTTTGTATTTAGTGTCCTCGTCCGCGATATAAAATGTGGAGCACTGAGCGTATGCTTTGTCACCATTAAATCTTTGTAGGTCAACCCGGAGTTCCTGGTCCTTGTTCTTTGTCAGCTCATATATTGCATCATTTCCTTCAGAAATATTTTCAAAAATATCTTAACATTCCAAATCCTTGAATTCTGACAATACATTTAGATAGGCACCTTATTATGTAAATACTTATCAATAAAGTATTCTGTAGAGGGATCCCCAGCTTCTTGTTTATATTTTGACATTACATTTAGATAGACAACTTATAATATTAATGTTACATAATCTAATTTTACCAATCCAGTAATTTTAGAGGGATCCCCAAATCCTTGTTTATATTCTGACCACGTCCTGTAAAAATCTGTAGAACCGTCCTGTCTTCTCTGTATTGCCTTTAACAGATTAAATGATTTTTAATTCGATTTATTTTTTTTAATGTAAGTAATTTAAGACCTTGATGTATGAGGGCTGTTCGGAAATTATTGAGACATTTACTGTAGCTCTACGAAGAGCAGAGATAAATAAAGGAAATTTAGGCTACATTTTAGAATGAAACAATAAATCAAATATACAAAATTTCTAATTTATATGATTACGTATTAGATACGTTCTGGTGAAATTATAAAGATGCATTATGTCTATCGACCTGGAGCAGCATCGCTACGTCATTTTGACGTCACATCAGCCGGAGATGTTTTCGCATGTGAAACGATCGGGAAGCCTTTACTTATTTTCTTCGTTATCATATATAACATTACAAAAATTAAACCTTCTCTTTCCTTAAATGATTCTTTACAAAATGTGTGCTGTTGCTTCACCAGTGTTAACTTTTCATTTCTCATATACAGGATGACTTTGCATCATGGAGTGGCGATTTACGCAACGCGGGTCAACGTTATTGAATCCGTTAGGTCAATATTGATAGCTATTCGGAGCTTTTTATTTTACTCTGATTAAATTATTGGTCAGAAAAAAATAAAAACCAATGAAATAACCCTTAAACATGTTTTGCAGTCTTGTTGTTTTTGTTTTATCAGGTTGGTCAGTCTGGAATAGAGTTTTAGAGAGCGCTACACAAAATCTTAAGTACCCCTACCATCGACTATTGAAGATAACAAATTTCATATTTGTAAATATTTTTTGCTTTTACGAATTCTTAGTGTTTGTCAAAAGTATATACGAATTTTCAACAGAAGGCGTTCATTAGAAATATTGATTGATTGATTGTATATTGTTTAACGTCCCTCTTGAGAATTTTTCACTCATATGGAGACGTCACCGTATGCCGGTGAAGGGCTTCAAATTTAGACCTATACTCGGCACTCAGGGCCATTGAGCAGTGAGGGTTCTTTATCGTGCCAGCGCCTACCGTGACACGGGACCTACATTTTTAAGGTCATATCCGAAAGACCCGTGACTTTCACTTCTAGTGCCGAGCGCTTGGCGAAGGAGCAGTCACTACCTTTGTTGACGTCTTAGGTATGACGCGGCGCCGCGAACGAGAATCGAACCCGGGCCTCCCGATCACGAAGCGCACGCTCTACCACTAGGCTACCGTGACCGGTCATTCATTAGAAAGAAGAAAATATACAATGTCTGAATAATTTCCGAACAACTCTCGTACTTATGTAAAAGATTTTGAAGAACACATACACATTCGTAAAAAAAGACATCTAAGCTCAGTAAGTAATTTAATTTTCTTAGAACAAGCGGTAGACTTTTTCCTCACATTTTAACAAGTTTAACTCACCGTCCACCATCCTCCATCTGTACTCATGTCATAGTAAACAGACCGAAGTACTGAGGCGGCTCACACTCACCGTCCATCCTCCTCCATCTGTACTCATGTCACAGTATATAGGCCTTACTACTGAGGCTCACACTCACCGTCCACCACCCTCCATCTGTACTCATGTCACAGTAAACAGACCTTACTACTGAGGTTCACACTCACCGTCCACCCTCCTCCATCAGATCTCATGTCACAGTAAACAGACCTTACTACTGAGGCTCACACTCACCGTCCACCCTCCTCCATCTGTACTCATGTCACCGTAAACAGACCATACTACTGGGGCTCACACTCACCGTCCACCCTCCTTCATCAGATCTCATGTCACAGTAAACAGACCTTAGAACTGAGGATCACATTCACCGTCCACCCTCCATCTGTACTCATGTCACAGTAAACAGACCTTACTACTGAGGCTCACAATCACCCTCCACCCTCCTTCATCAGATCTCATGTCATAGTAAACAGACCTTAGTACTGAGACTCACACTCACCGTCCACCATCCTCCATCATTACTCATGTCACCGTAAACAGACCATACTACTGGGGCTCACACTCACCGTCCACCCGCCTACATCTGTACTCATGTCACAGTAAACAGATATTAGTACTGAGGCTCACACTCACCGTCCACCATCCACCATCTTTATTCTTGTCACAGAAAACAGACCTTACTGTTGACGCTCACACTCACCGTCCATCCTCTTTCATCAGAACTTATCTCACAGTATACAGATTTGACCTTAGAGTTTACTGTTATTATGTGTACTCCACTTCTTCCCTTTAAATAAGGATATTTCCGTAATATATCCAAGTAACTGTGACTATTACTTGAAAGCACTGAAAAATAAATTGATTGATTGGATGTAATTTATTGTTTTATTCATTTATTTATTTTTACATTTTAAAATCCATAAACTAATCATTATATAATCGATTAGTTGTTTTCATGTTGTTTTATGTCCCATTCGAGAATTTTTTCACTCATATAGAAACGTCACCAAATACACCGGTGAATGGCTTCCAATTTAGATGGTTCATATCAGCCCCAGCGATCCTTTATGTTTCAGGCGATTACGTGAGAGTTGAAATTCCCAAAAAGTTATCTACCATGTTTTTTTTATCAGACATAAAACAATTTTATTGGTAAATACACTGTACCAGACAGTTATCAACATTGCAATTTTAAATTGTTATTTAGTTGTTTACCGTCAAACTTATCGATATCGAAATATTTACCGGAAGAACCTTTAAAGTAAAATATAGTGCCTGATATAAAAAAAAATTCCACAAAAAAATACAAATCTATGAACATGGACAACGGAAACTCTCAGCTAGGATTTAGTGCCTAGGATGAGTTAGCATCATCGCCTCTTGACCAAGAAAACCCCCAACGGGTCCGAAATATTGGTCAGGATTTAGTTATGTAGCCATTGCCACTAATGGGTTATGGGGAATATATTCTTAAAACAATTATTGTCCTTGGGTTAGCCTTCGTGGTTTGTAGGTCAAAATATTGATTGTCATTTTTAATTTCGAGGTTGGTACTACATATACGTGATTCAGTCCTTCGTAATTTTGACAGTTCTTGGAGAAGAAATGAACCTCAAAAACAACAGCATTAAACAATCATTTGAAAATTTTTGATTTCACAGTATTTGATCATCTAATAGGAATTTAAAAGCGTGAAAATGTTAAGATATCCGATTTTTTATTTTAATCTGTATCGATTATAAAAAAAGATTTTTAAAAATATACAATGTATGTAAAGTGAGTAATTAGATGTAATTCCTTAATTAATTGATATTTATACTTCCGTAAAAGAAGATAAATCTTTTTTTTTTAATATTTTCTCTCCGAAAACCAGCTACAAAATCTCATGAGTTAATTCTAAACTTAAATATAATTTACAATTATACTTAACCTTTTGATAAAGACCAGTTCGATTCATTCAGATCCTCACGAACATTGTTCAACGTTTCATTTACAGACACTGCGAAATTCGAGAACGTGTCCTCCATCTTCTCAATCTGTCTGGCAAGTAATTCCACACCACTGATCTGTAATGCCGCGTTCATTTCATTCATTTGGTCTTGGAGAGCCTCAATTCCTTGAAAAAGTCTTCCATAATTTTCCAGAACCAAACTTTAATTTCGAATGCCATCATCAAGTTCTTTTATTTTTCGGAAGTTCTTGATTACTTCTATTACATGGGATTTATTTAGATTGCTTATTCACTCAAATGTGCTCATGTCCGATGACTTCAACGTCTCTCTATCTTTGCGAACACCTCTTTCCGTTTGTTTTATAGTCTTACTTAACAAATCAAGCTGTTTTTCAAAAGCTGAATTTTTCAAGGCTAGTTTAAGATTTTCGACGTGGAGAGCTGAAGTCTTTCTTTGCATTTTCTTAATGCAGATCCAGATTTTCAATTTCGTCCTTTGTCACGTTCCTATTTTCATTCACCGTCCCATGTACCCTCTGTAATTCCTCTTTAAGTTTGTTGTTTTCTTCCTCCATATTTTGACTTTTTGTCTCCAAATCCTTCAGGTCATTTGTCACCTCACTGAGCTTTGCCTTGATATCCAGTCTATTGGTTTTGGTCTCTATAGCATCCATAACCAGACTCTGTATTTTTTGCACCATAGAGAAGCGGACCAGACTTTCCTGATTCAATATGTCACGTAGGACGCTGGACGCTCTACCTGACACGGTACTGGGTAAGATTTGTCAGATTCTTTTTCAGGTAATGGTATCTGACAAAAGGATCCGTAGACGGAAATTGATAGCATTAAGCAAAGTACTTTTAGTGATTCCATTTTCGCGCAAGTTTCTGATGGGTAAGAAACCGTTTATAAAGTGCAAGACTAGGTGTTGATTATCTAAGCAATACGTGTAGCACTCAGAAAAATAAGTGTTTATCACTGAAAAGTTGAGAACTTTAATATTAATCTGTTGTAAACAAATTGAAATAATACATTATCAAAGGTATATCACTCAGACGTGAGTGTTGGCTTGTGTGTTTATTGTTCGGGCGGAGACATTTTAAAATACTTTTTTAGATATACTTTCCATCTTTTATTGAAAACTTTTATATTTATATTCTATATCTAATCACTATTTCCTATGTTTCTCCTGAGTCGTTAATGCAAGAGCTTTCGTATGTATCATGACATGTTAAGTGGTAATTGAAATATCTCTCTCTCTCTTTCTCTCTCTCAAGTAAAACCTATGTAGGTGCAAATAACACTAGAGTAACATAAATATGTATGCGATTTTTAAGTAAGTTTATTTTCTAGTTTCAATAT